TGTATTATATAAAAAATAAAACTCTATTCAATATTTAGGAGGATATTATACAAAAAATATAACTTTATTTAATATTAAAATTTAAAAGATAAATTCAAAATATGTCTAATCAAATATAAGAAAAAATTAGATCGAAATTGATTTTTATTAATTAGGGACAAATTATTAATTAAGAATAAATTAGCAATTAAGAACAAATTAGCAATTAAGAACAAATTAGTAATTAAGAACAAATTAGTAATTAAGAACGGACTTTGATACTCTTAATATTCTTGTCTTTGTACTTTTAATAGTTATGAAAATATCTTAACCACTAGATTTTTATTTTTAGTAAGCATTCTTGCTTTTTATTTTTAAAAAATAATTTTTTTTATGATGTCATATAACATAATTCATCATATGCTTGTGAGTGTCACAAAAAAAAAGGGTTAGAGAGCTTGAGATAAAGAAGGAGAGAGCAAGAGTGGAGAAGAGGAAAAGTTAAAAGAAAGTGAAATTAATGAGAAATTAAGGTTTGAATATTTTATTTATTTTTATTTTTAAGATTAAGAAATTTAAAATTTAAAATTAATTTTTAAGTAATCCAATAAAAAATAAATAAATAATGTTTGGGTCATTTCGAATAACCCGATTCACTCATGACTTAATTTATTTGAATTTGAATAATTTCAGATCGAATCATTTCAGATTTTGGATTAGTACATAAAATCTATGACCCTGACTATAACGGATGAGTTAGGTCAAATTTTAGAATCGGATCCAATTTTACCATGTTTATAAAAAATTATAAAATTAAAATTTATTTTGGATATTAGTGTCGTTTAGACAACTTCGTGAACTCCTGTATTGTTGAGATCTTGAATTGTTTTGGTATTTAAAAATCTTAAGAAAGTATGGTTGAAAAAAGATTTCAACACTGAAGTCAATAATATTTTATATTTTAAAGAGAAAATTTTTTTACTGAAATATTACAGAGAGAGAGAAACGAGGTAAATTGAGATATTTATAACTCCATAATAATGTCACATATTATTTGTTCAATTGGCTCACGTCACATAGGCGAGTCATCATTGTTTGCTATTGCTCTCGGGCCTTATTTGGGCCGTTTAGGTCTTTTGCCTATGTTGAGCCCTCTTCCCAACAAGTATTATACA